ATTTTTTACTTAGTCCCCTATGTTCCCCGACGCTTTCCCTTGCGATGTCCCGGTTTCTCTTGGCACTTTCTTCGCCATGACCGCCTAATTTCTAGTATCTTTTCTATGTCCCCCGCACCCTCGTCTTTCCGACCACGCGCCTTTACTTGACTCATGCCCCTTTGGTTCTTCCTATGCCGCCTCTCGGTGACCCTCTTAACCTGAGCCAAGTTCTCACGTGTCAGCGCCTCACATATTATTTTTTTGACCTCCTTGATTCTTTTCCCCCTGCAGCACACCACCCAGAGCATTATTTTCCCCGGCGGTCCTTCCCCGCTCTCTATTTCTGTTTTTGGTCGAGTGGTTCCCGCGGCCCAAGGCATTATCTAGGTCCCTCGGCGCTGGCATTTGTGCCTTTATCCTTCCATCCTTTCTATTTCTCTTGCCTCTGGTTTTCTCTGCTGTACACAATTCTTCCATTTACCATCTCTCAAGGGTCGGGACTTATCTCGGGATCCAGCGGTCCCGACAACGGTCTGCGGCAGGGACCCACTAACGAGACGTGGTAGACATCGTTGTCGTACCAAATACCCTTACAAGGGTATTTGGCGTGTTTTCTGCAAGTCACACTAGTGCAGCCTCTTTCACCCTATAGCGCGCGTATGGGAGGAAGTTTAGGCCTTCGCCTGAGTGAGCGGCGCGCGCTAGGTATCGACAGGGAGGGCACAACTATGCGCGGCCTAGGCGGGTGCGTCGTCGCAGTCCAACGCGCCCCCTCGCGTTATTTTTATTTTTATTTCTGACTATTTTTTTTACGGCTGCTTAGACCCAGTGACCGGTTCCGAGGCCAACGTCGGCTCCGCGGCCTGGTTCGACCACTACTTCGCCGGGCATGGGACGCCGTTACGGTAACCGCTGACCCTGAGCTCGGGCCTCCTTTGACGGTCCGATCGGGCTCCTACATGTTCGGGGCGTGGACAAAATTTCTTTACTCTGCCCGTCTTGAAATAAACGGACCGAGGAATTCAACGGGCATGCAAGCCGGTGGGTGATCGGCCAACGGGACGGAGGAAACCTGAGTGGTCGGGGACCTTCTGCGGGTGCACTGTCCACCAGCCCACTACCTTCGGGAATATTAACCCGACCCTCTTTTTAGGTGCGGCGCGCAATGCGCCCTTGATATAAGGTTCCCACATCTCTTGGGACCGAATGACTGGAGTTGCCTACGTTACCTTCCATCCCCACAACCCGTAAACTTTGATTTCTCAGCCCTTTCATCAGTTCCTTTGAGTTTCAGCCTTGCAGCCATACTCGCCCCCCGGAACCCGTCAAACTAAGCCGCAGGCTCCAAGTCTGGTGGCGCCCATGGGGAATCCGAGAGGGGGAGGGGCGGCTCTGCTCGAGTTGGCCGGTCGGAGGTACTGGGCACGGCATACAGCATTGCGGCTGCATGCAGCGGTCGTCGGGGCTTGGGTATACGAGCGGGCCACCTAGTTGCCGACCCTTTTTAAGCCGCTCTAAGGCAGTCGCCCGCTGTGGAACTGCTGCACAGTCCTCGGAGGGGTCGGGCGCTGCACAGTCGGCCGCTGTTGAGAAACAGCGTTAGCCGGAGAGAAGGAGACACGCGGGGATTGAGGGAGAAGGTACGACCTAGGCAACGGGGGGGGACGAAGGAGAGACGAGACAGCGGGAGCATGGCGTTGCAGGGAGGGAAGAGCAGAGGCAGTAAGGTAGTGAGGAAAGCTGAATGAATCTGGACGCTAGATCGCGCCAGGTACATTCGGACTTAAGTGAGAGAGAAAGGATGGCGGGTTGCGAGCCCTGACGCAGGTGAGAAGCGACGGGCAGCTGAGGAGGCTGGCCGGGCAGCGCAGCGCTGAGACAGGGCAGAAAGCAGTAGGGAAAAGGGGGGATGAACCCGGACTGGAAAGTGCGCCGGGTGCATGTAAGAAGTACGGGCTATGGCCGGTGCTGGGAGAATGTGAAAACCCGCTCGATTCTTGATGAAAATGGGCGGGGGAAGAGTCAATCTGGAGGTTTTTTGGGCGGGCGAATCGGATAGGAAGGTTAGTTTTAGTGATAAGGTGGTAGAAAGAGAGATTAATAGAAAAGTTAGTGTGCGGGAGATGGCGGGAGATGAAGGATGAGAAAGACAAAAATGTAGATCTCGCTCGTTTGTTAGTGAAAACGAGCGAGAGAAGGGGCGATCCGGGGGTTTTGCCTCGGGCGAACTCGATTTTGAGGTTAGTTGTGGGAGAGAGTTAGTAGAATAGATGATAGATGGAGAAAACCTCGCGCCTAGAGATATGGAGAGGGGAGAAGAAGAAGAGAGAAACGGGCGTAACTCGCCCGATTCTTAATGGACTCGGGCGGGATGAAGTGTTAGTCTAAGGTTTTTAGATCGGGCGAACCCGAATCTGTTGTCAGGTGGGGATGAAAGTCAGTAGAATAGGTGATTAGTAGAGGAAGGGAGCTATGTGGAGATGCCGAACAGATGGCTATGACAAAGCGAAGACTATCCGATTCACTCGATTCTCGATGGAATCGAGTGAAATAGAATAGTAGGTGGAGGTTTTCTATGGCTGCGAGTTAGAGGGTAAAGTCAGACTAGTAAGAAAGTTACTAGAGTGAGAGTGGTAGAGAGGAGGAGACGCGTGGGGGTGTGGCAGAGAGTCTTGCAGTATGAATACATCAAACTATGTTTTAGCGGAAGATTCATTCAGTTTTGCTCTTGGCAGCAGTGTGAGGCCGCCTGCACCACGCAGAGAGAGAGAGAGAGAGAGAGAGAGAGAGAGAG